GGCTGAGACAAGCTTTGATTTAGGTGGCGAAGTGCTTGCTCGCATTCCTCATTCCATTCGAAGGCCGCTTCCTTTCGAAGGAGTTTGAAGAAGGGGAGGGCGTGCTGAGCGGACTTCGCGACGAAGCGGGACAGCAACGTAAGCATGTCGTTCATGATTTGTATCGACTTCTTCGACGTCGGTGTTGGGAGGTCGGAGAACGCCCGGCATTTGTCGGGGTTGGCTTCAATCCCTCGTTCTGTTAGATAGAATCCAAGGAATTTTCCTACCTTAACCCCGAACGTGCATTTCTCAGGGTTGAACCTCATTTTGCACTGTCTCGCTTGGGCGAAGACTGTCTTGAGATGAGCTGCATGATCGGTGTCTGCTCGAGATTTGACGATCATGTCGTCCATATATACCTCGAGCATGTCGCCGATCTGTTTGTTGAAAACTCTGTTCATCATGCGTTGGTAAGTTGCCCCGGCATTTTTCAGTTCGAAGGGCATTACGTTGTAGTAATAGTTGCCCGAGCTGGTCATGAATGCCGTGCAGTGTTTGTCGCCCAGAGCCATTGGGATTTGGTTATATCCCGAGTAGGCGTCCATGAACGACAAAGTTTTGTAGTCGGCCGAGTTGTCGACCAACATGTCTATGTTAGGTAAGGGAAAAGCATTTTTCGGGCAAGCCCGGTTGAGATCGGTATAGTCAACACACATTCTCCATTTTCCATTATTCTTTTTCACAAGTACAACATTTGACAGCCAGGTGGAATACCGGGCTTCAGAAATAAAATTTGCCTCTAGGAGGTCTTTTACAGCTTTTTCAGCAGCCTCCGTTTTTTCTGGAGACTGCCTACGCCTACGTTGTACTACGGCCTTGGCGGCTGGATCAATGGCGAGGTGGTGACAGACGACCTCAGGGTCGAGTCCGGGCATCTCCGCAGCGCTCCAGGCGAAGAGATCAGCATTCTCGCGCAGACAGGCCTTGATTTGCTTCCTGGCCAAGTCGGGGAGGTCTTTACCAATCTTCACTCCCTTGGTCGGGTCTGTGCCGCGGGGAACGAGTTCAAAATCCCCGTCCGGAATTGGTCGGAGTGGGATTTGCTCGCTGCTGGATGGCTCGTCCTGATCGAAGCGAGCGTCGAGGGCTATGGAGTCGACCTTTGGTGGGGCCTTCTGGACTTCTTCCTCGGGAGATGCTTTCCTGTCGGGCTCCTGTTTTGTCCTTTTGGCGGGTCTGGTCCCTACGTCGACGGTATCCCGTCCCTTAGAAGCAGCATTGAAGCACCTACGGGCAGCGGCTAGGTCTCCTTGGATGGTGGCTACCCGTGCCCTTTTGGTGTAGAACTTCATCTTCAGATGGACGGTCGAGGGCACCGCCGTCAGCTCCGCCAGTGTCGGTCTCCCCAAGATGCAATTGTATAGAGACGGGCAGTCAATGACGAGGAAGTGGACCTTAACTTGTCTCGTAGCCGTTCCTTCGCCGAACGTAACCAGGAGCTCGACATAACCCCAAGGTTTGGAAGTCGAGCCGTTGAAGCCTTGTAGATCCGACCCCACATACGGAGAGAGATATGAGACGTCCAGTTGTAAGGTCCGGAACAGCTGGTTGTACATCACGTCGACGGAACTCCCTTCGTCGACCAGGATGCGATGCACGTCAAAATTGGCCATTTTTGCCCTTATCAGTAAGGGGATGACCGCGTTCGGGGCTCCGCCGGGGAGTTCTTCTAGGTAGAAGGTGATGGGCTCTGACCTGCCCTTCACCCTTTCGAACGTTACAGTTTACGGGGGAGCTATGTCGACCAGCTCGTCCAACTTCCTCTTAGCTGAATTGATGGTGAGCTCGTTGAACCCGCCCCCGTTGATGACCATGGCGGAGGGAAAGTATTCCCACCTGCTGTGCGTTGTCAGCGGCTCCTGCAGGAGCTCGGGAATGTCGAAATCCTCGGGCCTGGTTACCGAGAAGGCGGTCTGGATAGGCACCGACTCGTCTGATGGTCGGGCGTCTTCTTCGGGCTCCTTGGTTTCATGGGCGTCACGACGAGGAGCGTCATTTTGCCTGTACTGCGCGAGCCTCCCTCCTTTGATGAGGGTTTCGATGGTGTCCTTGAGGTGGACGCAGTCCTCTGTCAAATGGCCATGACTCCTATGGTACTGACAGTATTTATTTTTATCTGCCCCTGGCTTGGCGGGAGCAGGCCGGGGACGCTTGACGCCGCCGTCCTTGAAGTCTGTACTGGCACACTCCGCCAGGATACGCTCGCGGGAAGCTGTGAGCGGAGTGTACTCGGTGAAACGGCCCGAGGGGCCCCTTTGCTCCCGGACTTCCCGGGGTCGGTCTTCTTTCCTTTTCTCCCCCGTACATCGGGGAGGAGCCTCTTGTCGTGAGCTGCTGCTGTTGTTTGGACCCCGAGCCCTCGAGTCTCGGGCCCTGTTGGCAGCTTCCCTCTCCTCGTAGTCCATATATGCTCGGGCCTTATCGAGGAGGGCATCAAAAGTCGGAGGTGGCTCAATACCCACAGCCTTTCTGAATTCTGTGTCGGGGAGGAGACCCCTCTCCAGCAAGTATCTTTTCATATGGTCCGCGCAGGGGACCTATATTGCTTCTCGGTTGAAGCGGTTGATGAACTCCCTCAAGGTTTCATCCTGTCTTTGGATGATGGCCTCGAGGGCCGCCTCGGTCTTCGGATGGTGCCGAGAAGCTGTGAAGGAACTGATGAACTGGTTCTTCAGGTTCCTCCACGACGTGATTGAGCCCGGGGCGAGTCCTTTATACCAATCCATGGCCGCCTTCCTGAGAGTCGTGGGGAAAAGACGGCACTTGATGGGCCCCCCGACATTATGATAGTGGAGCATGGCTTCGAACCCGTCAATGTGGTCGACCGGGTCCGCAACTCCGTCATACTCCTTCAGATGTGGGGGCTTCTCCATGCCCGGGGGGATGGGTGCATCCATGATGGCCTGCGACAGGGGACCGCGGGGGTCGTCCTCGTCGCTCCTCTCCGGAGAAAGAGATGGGGACCTGTAGTTTTATCTGGCACGATGGTCGTGTTGAGTTTCCCTCGAGCGTGATGCTCGGTGGTTGAATGTCACACGCCTGTCCCCGGCGTGCCTCTTGTCGTGCCTTGATGGGTCGCGACTGGGTTCTCCGGCAGGGATGGCGGGTTGTCTCTCATAGTAGGGCCGCCTCTGCTTTGGCCGGGGAGAGGGGCTCCTGGAGTTCTCCCTGTAGTGTCTCCGCGGGGGAGAAGGGTGTCGAACTTCTGTGACCCGAGGAGGTGGAGAATGTGGCCTTCGATGCCTCCTCGGGGGTCGTCGGTCATCTTCAAGTGCCCTTAGTCTTTCTCCTTGGGCGAAGATGAGATAGTTTGTCTGATTAATGGCCGCGAACAGTGCCTGAGTCGTGGCATCTGCCCCGGCGGGGACTGGGACTTCGTGGAACCGGGCAGCTCTGTAATGAGCGAGAGCTACCGGGTCGTCTTCAAGTGGTGGTGGGATCGGGGAGGATGATGCAGTAGCCCCGTCCCTGTAGGAGGAAGTTCCAGGGGCGGTCGTCACAGGAATGGTACTGTGGCCGGGATCACCGGGGTTATCGAGGTGTCCATTCTTGTCCGCGGTGCCGTTATTAGTGTCGGCGACACGGACGTGCTGCTCGTCGCGAGCTGGATCAGCCATGACAGGTAGTTGAATTGAGCTTTGGTCTTTAGAGTTGTTCGTTAGACAGGGGAGCTAGTCCCCCACAGTCGGCGCCACTGATCTGACCTGATCAGAAATGGACCGTCACGGCTGGCTCCGAGCAGAAAGCTTTTTGAACGAAGTGGGGGGGTACCTGCAAGGCACTCCGATGCTGAAGTGAGTAGGAGTACGAGCAGATAATAGCAAGTGTAAGGTTAAAATGATGAATACCTGACCCTCTGGAAACAAAGGGTATTTATAGCCCCCAACGCTGGGCCAAGGTTCCTTCATTGGGCCGGGCAGGTTTGGCCCAATGGAGGAACTGCCAGGTTCTACGTGCGTAGTGGGGACCCGCACGTGGTCCCCTTCCTGGATGTTCTGCATGAAGTGCGGGCGGACGGAGACGCGGTCTTTTTGGGGTATCGTTGGGGGAATAGTGGACTGAGTCTGCCCTAGTTTGGGGTGCTCGAGGTAATGTCGGGCTGGACATCAAGATGTGGAGTTCGACCGCAGTATGTCAAGTTGGAGGTGTAGCTGTCGAGCATGCGACTACCCGTCGGGCGCGGTCGTGACTCTTTGGTCGGGGTGGTCCTTAGTAAGTCCATTTGGACTGGGCCTTAGCAATGCTTTTGGGCCTGTCGGGCCCAGTCCAGAACAATTTTCTTGAGCGACTATAAATTTTATGAACCCGTTTGGTGCGCGGGATAGGATTGAGACATGATCAAATAAATAGATGCATAAAGACAAGATAATATACTTACAAGATAAATATTTATCATATCATGTATTTGATGTACACAAGATAAAAAAACTAAATAATATTATTTTATCATATTATGTGTTTGGATGCATTTGATAGTGACAGTATAATATATATCTTTATATAATTATATCAAAAAACAATATTGAAATTAATATCAATACAAATTTTCATACACGACACTAAAAGAAATAAATAATTATAAATAAAAACATCATTAAAATTAAAATTATCATATGCAAAAGTAGCAATAAAACAACGAGAAAGTAATAAGATAATGTCGAACAAAAAAAAAATATTTATATCAATGACTTAACAAATGCAAGACGATCATCAAAATCAACACAATCCTAAAATATGTATAAATGATGTGGTACAGATAATATTTTGTCAGCGGCAACAAAACGCTCTTGTTCTGTTAATTCCATTTTCAACTCATTTATAATGTTTATTGAATCATCAAACACATCATTATCAACTCCTAGACAATTTGCAGCTTCAACCAATCTTTCATATGTTTTTTCAATCATAGCCCCAACATTCTTTCCTAACTCATAAATACTTTGAGCAATTAGACTTGCTCATTTGTTTCTTTTGTTGAAATGTATATCTTTGTTGTCAAACTTCCTTTTAGATTTATTATTAGACGATGACGAAGTCATTTCTACTTCATTCTCCTCATCGTTAAATAGCTCTTCTATTTCTTTATCTATCTCCTCAACATTATCAGCATGGGGAGCATCCCCTTTACCGGTAGCATGGTATTTTCCAAATGCATGGACAAGTTTGTCAAAAAGTGGGATTGGAGCATATATATAATCTTTTACATTTGGATGACTCTACACAAGAATAAAAAACATATTTGTTCAAGGAATCGTATACAATAATCATAAGCAAAAAATTAATAAAGAATAAATAGTAATATTAACCTTTACATACTCAATCCACACTTCATCACTATCAACACTAATCATTTTTTTAATTTTCATCCCAACCAAAACCACTTTGATTTAACATATCATAAATGATTCCATAAAGTGTTTTTAGTCTCTTCATAGCAGATAATTCAGTATGTGATTTTACCTTAATTCTGTTAAATTGTAATTCGATTGTGTCGAAACAGTGTGTGCGTCGAAGAGAGGTTGCTCAGTCGAAGCGCTTGTGGATCGAAGCAAGCTACACATAAATTTGATTGGTTTTAGATTTAAATAAATTTGATTTAGAATAGATATATTTGATTTAGTATCAAAATAGGTATTTTGGGCTTTTATAGTTTTGGGCTTTGGCTTTGGGAGCAAGCTAATTTAAATCTATAAATGGAGGGAGTAACCCCTAATTTTATAATTAAGTCAATTCATTGTAATCACAGAATTTGCAGTTGCAAGTGATTAATAAAGTTTTCCACAATTTGTGCGCAGAGAGAAACTCTACAGAAAATAATTGTCTTCTTTCTTTTCTTTTCTTTTCTCATAATGCATTATCATTGTATGGTGATATCAATCTTATTCATCAAGTTTGGTAGAAATTTATCATAGATATTTGGTAGATTTCCAATATCTGGTATCAAGAGTTCGGTTAATCGATTCAAGGGAAGTATTGATCAAAAATGATTGAGGAAGAAGAAGAATCCATGATGGCGAGTTATGGGAATGGAAATTATCCAGCAACTCTACCAATTCTAAAAGTAGACAACTATGAGAATTGGTGCAAACAGATGAAAGTTTTATTCAGGTGTCAAGGTCTTTGGGATCTTGTAAAGGATGAATTGGAAGCGCTTGGAGAAAACGCTTCAGACGAAGAAAAGAAGAAACACACAGAATCTAAGAAGTTGAGTTATAAAGCACTCTTTGTAATTCATCAATGTATGAGTCCAGAAATTTTTGAAAAGTGAGTGATTCAGAATGTGCAAAAGAAGTTTGGGAGATTCTTGAGAAGTCTTTTGATGGTGCAGAAAAGATGAAATAAGTGAGGTTACAAACTCACAAGAGAACGTATGAATTGCTTCAGATAGAAGATAGTGAGAGCATATTTGATTTCTTCACTGGGGTTACAAACTAGTTAATCAAATCAAGGTATATGGAGAAATATTAACAACAAGAGCTATTATTTCGAAGATCTTTAGATCTTTGGCTCCTAAGTTCGACCACATGGTGGTGGCTATAGAAGAGGGGGAAGATTTGTAGAAATTGACAAAGGAAGAGCTTCAAGGGACGCTTGAATCTCATGAACAAAGAATGACTGAAAGAGTTGCAGGCAAGTCGAAGAGTGATGTGGCTTTGCAGGCATATTCAGCAAAAGAAACCAAAGGCAAAGGAAAGTGGTTCAACAAAGGTAGAGGCGACTACAAAAAATCGACTGGCAGAGGAAACCAGAACGAAGGAAACGTGTCGAATCAGAGAAGACCATACTAAGGCAACCAAAGAGGTGGTGTTGCAAATAGAGGAAGAGGTGGTGGTCGAAAACCTGAAAATAGTCACATTTAATGTTACAATTGTCAGAAGTATGGTCATTATTCGAGTGATTGTCCAGAAAAGCGAAAGAATCAAGAAAGTGATGTAAAGTTTGCAAAACATGAAGAAGAAGAAGAAGAGATGATGTTGATGGTCACAACAAGAGATGAAGATAGATTCAAGGACCAATGGTACTTGGATTCAGGATGCTCATCACATATGTCTGGAAGGAAAGACTGGTTTGTCAACATAAAGCCCTCAATGAAAAATATGGTAAAATTCGCAAATGACAATACCCTAGCAGCTGAAGGTATTGGTGATGTTATGATTATGATGAAAGATGACAAGAGGTCATTAATTTCTAATGTGGTTGTACATATCAGACACGAAGAGCAATTTTCTCAGTATAGGGCAGTTGGTCGAAAGAATTATAAGGTGTCGATCAAAGATAAGATGATGAGAGTCGTCGATGCAAATGGAAGATTAATCTTGAAGGCTCATATGTCTCAGAATAGAACCTTCAAGATTGAACTAAATGTGATGGAGCAAAAGTGCCTTTCGACTGCAGATAACAGAGATGAATGGATATGGCATTATCGATTAGGCCATCTCAACTTCAGAGACATCAGAGATCTGAAGAGAAGAAATATGGTTTTAGGATTACCAGAAATCGACATTCGAAATGAGGTATGTGAGGAATCTGTGCGGGCGAAGCAGCACAAGAATAGCTTCGGCAAGGATGCAGGAAGCAGGTCAAAGGTTATTCTTGAAGTCATATACTCTGATGTATGTGGACCAATCCAGGTGGATTCGATGGGAGGTAAAAAAATACTTTGTTACATTCATAGATTATTTCAGTCGAAAGTTGTGGACTTGCCTGATCAAGAAGAAAAGTGAAGTGATCGAGGTATTTGCCAAGTTTAAGTCTATGGTCGAAAAACAAAGTGGTCGAAAACTCAAAGTTTTGAGAACTGATGATGGTGGAGAGTGTGTGTCGAAAGACTTCGACGGGTTATGTGAAAAGGAAGGGATTATGCATGAGGTGGTGCCACCCTATACTCTACAGCATAATGGAACTGCAGAAAGGAAGAATCAAACCATCATGAATATGGTGAGAAATATGTTGAAAGGCAAGAATTTGCCTAAAGAGTTTTAAGGTGAAGTTGTGTCGACTGCAACATACATTTTGAACAGATGTCTTACGAAGAAGCTAGAAGGAATTACTCCAGAAGAATATTGGTCTGGTATGAAGTCTAGCTTGAGTCATCTGAAGGTATTTGGATCTATTGCACATAGACATATGCCATGTCAGTTGAGAAGAAAACTTGATGACAAGTCAAGCCAAATGATTCTAGTTGGATATCATTCGATAGGAGGTTACAAGTTGTTCGACCCATTGAATAAGCAGATTGTGATCAACAGAGATGTGATCAGAAATGAGCTTAAAGAATGGGATTAGACTGAAAATGTCAATAAAGATTCAGTGGGAATCCTACTTGAAGAACCAGAAACTCAAGTCAAAAGAGAAGTTCGACAAGTGGAACCAGCTGTTATAGATCAACCAAGTACAAGCAGACCTCAAAGAACAAGACGCATGCCTGCAAGATTGCAAGATTGTGTGATTACATCAGATGATATGATAGATAATGAAGGTGAGTTGGTACATTATGCTTTCTATGCAGATGTCAAACCTGTCAATGTAGCTGAAGCATTGAAGGATTCGAAGTGGGTGAAAGAAATGAATAAAGAAGTGAAGTCTGTCGAAGACAACAACACTTGGTCACTTGTCGAATTGCTTCAAGGCAAGAAGGAAATTGATGCCAAGTGGGTATACAAAGTGAAAATTCCAAAGGGGAAGTAACTCGATACAAAGCAAGGCTTGATGCAAAAGGATTTCTACAGAAAGAAGGAATAGACTTCGATGAAGTTTTTGCACCTGTTGCTAGGATCAAAACAATCAGGTTGGTTGTTGGTCTAGCAGAAATAAACAGATGGCGCATATGTCAGATGGAAGTGAAGTATGCATTCCTGAATGGACCCTTAGACGAAGAAGTTTATGTTAAACAACCAGTTGGGTTTATGAAACATGACGAAGAGAGAAAGGTGTACAAGTTGCATAAAGCCCTGTATGGATTGAAACAAGTTCCAAGAGCTTGGAATAAGAAAATTGATAGTTTCCTAAGAGAGAAGGAATTTGTGAAGTGCACAATTAAACATGGAGTATATGTAAGAAGAAGCAATAGTGAATTGCTTATACTATGTCTCTATATCGATGATTTATTGATAACAGGTAGCTACAAAAGTGAGATCGAAGACTTCAAAGGTAATCTCAGCAAGGAATTCAAAATGTCTGATCTGGGTGAGATTTCATATTTCCTTGGCATCGAATTCTACAAGAGCAGTAGAGGTTTAATGATGCATCAAAGAAGATATGTAGGAGAAATTCTTAAGATATTTGAGATGGAAGAATGCAACTCAACTTTGACACCTGCAGAACCAAGATTGCAACTGTCGAAAGATGCAGATGAAGATGATGTCGACCCAACCCAATACAGAAGACTTATTGGGTCATTGAGATACCTTTGTTATACAAGGCCTGAATTAGCATATAGTTTAGGTATGGTAAGTAGATTTATGCATAAGCCAAAAGTATCACATCTAGCAACGGTGAAGGGAATACTAAGGTATCTCAAAGGAACTCTCGACTATGGCATTTTGTTTCCTGCAACTGATAAAGGAAAATAATGCAAGTTAGTGGGATACACTTATTCGAGTTGGTGTAGTGATGCTGATGATCGAAAATCAACAGCAGCATATGTGTTTATGTTAGGTGGTGCACCAGTTGCTTGGAGTTCAAGAAAGGAACCGGTAGTGGAATTATCATCATGTGAAGCAGAATACATAGCTGCTTCTCTTTGTGCATGTCAAGCAACTTGGATGGTGAACTTGATCGAAGAGATAACAGAGAAAGATCATGGAGCAATTACCATGAAGATCGATAACATGTCAGCTATCAATCTGGCGAAGAACCTGATAGCACATGGTCGAAGCAAGCACATCGAAATGAGATTCCACTATCTTCAAGAGCAGGTAGCAGATGGGAAGATGAATTTGGAACACTGCAGAACTAAGAATCAGATTGCAGACATCATGACGAAGGGAGTGCAGGTCGAAGTATTCAGAAGACTAAGAATCATAATGAATATAGATAGTTTAGACACAATGGATTAGGTGGTGTGTTAAATTGTAATTCGATTGTGTCGAAACAGTGTGTGTGTCGAATGGAGGTTGCCCAGTCGAAGAGCTTGTGGATCGAAGTAAACTACACACAAATTTGATTGGTTTTAGATTTAGACAAATTTGATTTAGAATAGATATATTTGATTTAGTACTAAAATAGGTATTTTGGGCTTTTATAGTTTTGAGCTTAGGCTTAGAGAGCAAGCTAACCTAAATCTATAAATAAAGAGAGTAACTCCTAATTTTGTAGTTAAGTCAATTTATTGTAATAAAAAAATTTGCAA